CTCTATAGTTTTAGATAAAATACTTCATTTTAAATTTTCAAATATATTTTATTCTTCAGTAAGAGTTGCATACCTTCAAAACAAAACAGGTCACTGTGTACGGTTCTCAAAAGTGCTGATACAAAAAAAGTTAACATTTTGAGGCTAAAAACACTACTCTTTCTAACGATTTGTACCAAAAGAAATCAACCAGCTACAAGATAAGTGAGTGTTCTTTTGATTCATCAAGTGGGTAATATCAATTATCAAACAATAGGAAGTTCCCAATAATTGTTTTTACGGCTCTTATCACTAATTCATTGTGTTTGTATCAAACTCATATCCGGCCTGAAGATATGTCAACTTGACATCACCTTCTGCACGCAAACACAGGAGATAATAACACTCAAATTACATAAAGAATACTTCAAAATATTGAAAATTGGATTGTCTATACCGGATATATCCGTTTTAACAAAGATTGTAGAAAACGCTATTTTAGCTTGATAAGTACTTATGCTTAAGGTAACATTAAAATGGTAATAAATACAGTGACAAATACAATGAAACACTTTCTAATTGGCCACAGCGATGAATCTAGCACATAAAAACAATAATACTCACCTACTCACATACTAACTCAATTCTTATTGCACAGTTGTTAAATTTTCGTAATTGTTCTGCAAATTTATTTTACAAATCTATACAACATGTACAAGACACGTTCTTCTTTTTGTACAAACCTGTGAATATGTATTATATACATTTTATTTTTATTTTCCACGACTTATCCGAGCAATAACAGAATATATTTGTAAAAAGTAGAGTCTATCGAGCTTTAGAGATTTATTTGGGCGAGCCGCGAGTCTAAGTATGAATGAACTATAACGTTTACTCGTATTTAACTGATTATTGATACCTATATGAAGTCTCATTTTGTGTCTTATTCGTGCATTAATTCTATACCATTCCACTCGTTTCGGTCTTTATCATGAATTATGCATGTTACTTCTAAACCACTAAAAATACGGGATGCACATTACATGTCTAAATTGTACTGTTGTAACAGCCTGTTTATGTCAGGCTTTACATTAAAAACAGATTAACAATTGACATGTATTCAGACTAACTTTTTTTCGATTTCCAAAATAATTTAAATTAGCTGCAATGTAAAATGGTAATTACAAATGGATGGTATTTTTTGTACATGTTACAATTAATTACAATGTATATTGTTTCAATTTTATATTCAGATTTCACAAAGAAAATACATATGTTTTCATATTCTACATACTCATTTAAAATAAATCCAATTAAATATTTGTTTGTTATACATTTCTTGGGTATTGAGATAATCTGTAAAATTACATAATAAAAAAACTAAGACAAACAAAAAACATTGCACGACTTGGAATTTTTATGAAAATCATACTCTAGCTGAAAGTACAGACCGAGATAAAATGGGTAGTAGCTCGATGATAACTGCACGGCGGTAACGAGGCTGATCCGAGTTTCCGATCGTTACCCGAGCGCAAGGATATCCTAGCTGTCTGTGACAACAGCTGGTGTCAGATTTATCATTCAGCCCAAATAAATTACAAGAAAAGCATTGATGCAAAGCATCAAAGGGCGTCCAAGCATGAAATGCAGCAGGTGAAGATGAACTAGTAGATATATGATGACAAGATAATCTTATAAACTTTTCAATGGTTAATTGGTTTTTACCAGAATTGTATATCACTTATGAGTGAACGGACGAAAGACATTGTTCATTATTAACTTTGATTGGCATGCTAGAGATTAGAATATTACCTGTTATTTATGATCGTGGTTATTAATAGCAACGGATATACATGTATACAATCATTTATAATCCATATGTGTAACGCATGATGAACACCACACTTGTGTAATTGCCCCTTATTATGTTATCGCTATTAGCGAAGTCCCCCTCTCACACTTACTAACACTATTACACTGGTTATATTACCATGTTAATCATGTTGAGCATATAAAATTGTTTATTATACAATAATTGTAATATCTATTTTAATAAAAAAGAATTACAGATTTGATGAAAATTGTTTTCTTTTCTTTTTTGTGTTGTATGTGCTATTTTAATACTGACTTTTTACGTTTACTACTATTTTAAGAATTCAATTGTCATATTGATTGACCGACGATTATAAGTCAAAACTTAACTGGAAAAAGTCAGTAAATTATGGTTAATCTTTCAATATATAATATTGTTTATTCTTAAACCATATCCATGTAAATTTGTATTTTTCTTTATCATTTTTCAAATTATCAATCAATTGAATATTTCAAAAAGTCTAATTTGTAACTTTGAATAATTCCTCGGCATCTTTACTAAACACGAATAACACATTAAATAAAATGTTTCAAAGTTGAGAGTGTCATATTAATACCATAAAAATGTACCTTTTTTATAATTATTGTACATATTTATTAGTTTTATCTCATATAGATTAAATAAAACATGCTATTGTTGTTGTTGGGTTTTTTTTTCGAATTGTATGTTTATGCATAATAATAATCAATAAATTTGAGAGTTAATCTGTGTTTTTTAATTATTGTAACCAAACTAAGTGACAGACATTCATTTTGAAAAAAGCTTATTTACATTGTATCTGTAAAATATTTGTTCTGTTCTGTAACGATATCAAACATCTACTCCAAACCCGGGAGAGACCGGACAATAAACGTATGGTACTATTCGCCGGTCACTAGTAAATCCCGGGAGAGACCGGGAATTACCGATAGGAGTACATCCCTCTATAAATAGATTTTCGGAATATTTAGGTCATCAACTCATCATTCTATTCAGCTTTCGGATACATGTAACATACCATAATAACCCACTGTGTACTACAAATTGATAAATAAAAAATACCCAGAAGAGCGCGATTTATTGACGTTATTTTATTTGAAAATGTTTGCATTGCGAAATTCTCCAGTTCGCTATTCATTGTATATATCGTGACATTAAATTTTTAATCCTCATACCGTTCGGAATGATCGTCTTTTATTATGTCCGACTAAAAGACTCGAGAAGTTGCTGTCGCCCTTTCACAAAATCTGATTTCATTCCATAAGAGGCGCCGCGCTTCGGCGCGGATGCCAATAACAACAGTTTATTGCTGTTGACTTTGTAAAATACTGTTCCATTATGTTGTGTTATGTGTTCCTTGAGTGCTTAACTTAGAATCAACTAACTTTACAGGAATAATGATCAACATGACTGTGAAGCTATGCACCTTGGGTTTTGCATGTGGATTTTTTTCAGTTTTGTGAAAGTTATTGCCCCTGACTTAGTATAAATTTGCTATATTCAACTTCTTCATGCATAGACCAAAAAGTATTTGATCTGTAGGCCTGAAAGTTTGCTTGTGGATTGATTCAGTATTTGTAGAGTTTTTGCCCTTTACATAGTGAAAGATTTTAGTTCAACTTGTGGCACATTTGACAAAACAGTGGAGTGGGGGGATACGTTTCTAGTTTTTTGTTGTTCTTTTTTTCCATATGGCAAACCATCGTTTTGAAACACTTTAAAAGTTTTGCTTAATTCAACGTTCTCAACCGACATTCTCTATAGATAAAACGACGCAATAAGTTAATTTCTAAATGCTCCAATTACAAGACAATAAATGATAATAATATTCGATATTTTACTGTACTGCTTGTAGCGTTCACAAATGTCATGTGCATCGTGATCAATATTTGCAAGTTTTCTTTATTTATACAAACTTTATGTTTTACATCGTATGACTTGATAAAGATTAACAAAGTTATTATCAAAGTTATTGCAATCCTGTAATTTTGCAGTATACAGTTACTATTTATTATTATTATTATTATTATTATTATTATTATTATTATTATTATTATTATTATTATTATTATTATTATTATTATTATTATTATTATTATTATTACGTAGTGGTGGTGGTGGTAGTGGCGGTGGTAGTGGTGATGGTGGTGGTGGTGGTAATGGTAGTCGTGGTGGTGGTAGTGGTGTGGTAGTAGTGGTTGGTGGTAGTCGTGGTGGTAGTAGTGGTGGTAGTAGTTGTGGTAGTGGTAGTAGTGGTGGTGGTGGTAGTAGTAGTAGTGGTGGTGGTAGTGGTGGTGGTAGTAGTTGTGGTAGTGGTAGTGGTAGTGGTGGTAGACATATTTGAAAGAGGGGTTTACAAAAAAAAATGTTTAAAGATATGGCATGACATAGATTTATCATGTGAATAAAGGATGATTAAAACGAAATAAGTTTTCATAAATATCTGAACTTCTACATTTTGAAGCATTGCATACTGTATGGTTAACATCAATGATAGTATTGTACATGTACAAGTAGTTATTGAAACTATCATAAGCCACTATGCACCTCTCTTTTCCCAAGGTATTTGTCTTGTGGAAAAATTTTGACAAAAGTCAGCAAACGTGTGATACCGTATGACACAAAACTTCAAAAATTTCTTCCAGTATCTCATAATTTTCCTAGCAAACTGAAAAAAAAACACCATTTGACTAACAAATCCGAGCTCAACGAATTTGTGCCGTATAAATTATGTGATTCTGAAATAGCATGTTTTGATGATATAGTTGTGAAAGTTGCGGAGCTAATTTGTATGATATTGCAAACGGAGAAAAAAACAGGTTTTAACATATTAAGTTTCGGACATTAGTAACAATGTCTCTTGTCCCATTACCACTTAAGCTAAGGATTCCATTGAACCCATAAACATGTATACTGTTTACTCTTATCGCGTATATTTTACTTTTTCGAATGCTTTTAAAAATAGAGGTAAACTGTACTTCAATCATTAAGAATATTCCAATTGGTTCAACATGCAATAGGTTAAAAAATACATATTTGAGTAATCAATCTAAAATGTAACAGTTTCTGTTTACAAAGAAAGATAGATAATTTAATACTTAACCATAAGAAATTTAATGTAAACATAATAAACATATAATCATTGTTTTAAGGATTTTATAAATTATCGGGGTAGTAATACATTTGACAGCATGTTCAAAACAACAGATGGTACATCATATTGCACACGGTCACCGTGACAAACAGGACTTGATTTAATTGTATATAAACAGCCATGCAATTGTCTGTTCTTCATCTGGACTTCTGTGCTTCTAAACTAAAGGTAAGATTTTACTTAGATTTACTTGTAATTTTGTTTACTTAAATTAGTCTTTATCTTTAATGCAATGTTAAAATTTTAGGAAATTGTCACACAAAAGTTGTATTCTTCTCTGCCTATTTTTTTGACTTTGGGTACTAATGATTACTGTTTAAGTGATTTCTTAAAGCAATCTGACTACTTTAAAAGTTCAGCTTCTTATGTTTATATGTAGCGATATAGAAGTTGAGTTTAATCAGCTTTTCCTTAACGGGGGTTCAAGTATTTATCCTGATTGAAAAATTGACAGAGTGTGACGGCTTGAAAGGCAGACGGCTCTCAGCTTGACACCAACAGCTCTTTTCAGGGCTACCTCCTTTTCATATTGTTATTATACATTTAGGTTCTCATAAATTTTGCCGCAAAATGTCTGAAAATTCATATCTTTGGCTAATACTCCGTGCAATTTGCATGGAGTTATATTAATTATTCAAAATTAACCCTTTGAGGGTATGACTGGTGACATGTCCAGGGTCCGAACTTGACACCGCGAAAGCTGCTTTTTGTGCCTAAACGGGCGGATGGACCCTCATTAAACATACAACTCTGTCAGTTTAGGCTTTTTTGTTCATGTGTGACAAATTGAAGAAAGTAGTCTGACTTCCGTTTTTGATTGAAATGTTGTAACTGGAATCATGCAATGTACTATTTAAAATATACAAATATTTATATATTACGTTGTTAAATGATTATCGTTCATTTGATATAGTACACGTCAACATGCAGCTACATAACAAATGTCTACGTGTTTGTTTCTTTCAGTTGTGAACAAAAGTATATTCCTAATTTTGTGATCAGTGCAATCTGAGAATCAAAAAGATGGCTCGAGTTCTTGGTGTTGTTTTCCTTTTCTCATTGGTAAGTTATTTTCGTACGTATATTTAGTGTCTTCAAGGTATCGTATAAACTATATACATACAGTCAAATAACACATACATAATACATAGTACTTGTGTTGATACAAAAATACAAAATGTTTTAAAAATATTATAAATTAAACTGTCATATTGTAAAATTAAACATTTTACATTTTAATGGTAATGTTCAAACTACTTGTTTACTTCGCTATTTTCAGGCGATTATTAAGATGGTAAACGCAAATCCGTGCGCAGGCCTAAGTGAATATGATGTAAGTACATTGTATACAATTATGCCACCTTTTTATAATAAGTAATAAGCACTAGAGGCAGAAAACCCTGGTATCTCATAATGTTCATATTTATAGGAGTTTTCTCCCTTTACAAGTCAGGTGACTTCTGAAAGATTTTTGTTTCGAATTCAAGCACTCATGTTTTAAGATTGGCAAGGCGATACATTTTCTATTTTTTATTAATTAGGCTTTTCGTGCCAAAATACGCTTCAGCTGGGAAGACTTTATCAGTCCTTCCAGTTCACGGCTATACTTTCCTATCGACTGAACATTATTCTAGCATGCAGGAGTGATCGAATAATAGATTATGATACCCTGTGAGTCTTATATCATGAAAGAATATCTATACTGCAAATGTCTTTTATTTCACAACACCATGAACGCCTTCTATCGCATTCTTGTCCAACCACTCTCTATCCCAGCGTGAAAAAGAAGAGGTATTTTATGTATGAGAATTTAATATGCGTATATCTACATTTTAACATATGAACTTACAGGACTGTGGAGACGGGCGTGTTTGTGTGTGTCCGAATAAAAATGTAGTCACCGAAGAAAATAATGGAAACGTGCCCTGCAACAATCTCGTCTGTAGATGTAAGTAAAAGTGTTTTTATTTTGTCTTTCCAATATATAAAAAAATGTATTGTGACTGTATTGCAAGTGTTTAAATTAAAACAAACGGGATTGATATCGCATTTTATACAATCTGTGTTGTACCAATTAATGGATATGGGATATCATTGAAATAATAGTTAATATATAGCAGAGTCGAACTCTCAACATATGTTGCCATTTGTCGTGTAAAGATACATGTAATTTAAGAGTTTATAAATGTGACCAACAACTCCTGAACAGTTACAAGACAATAATTTTAAAACACATTACATTAAGCGACAAAAAGTCCCGAATAAATGCAAAATCTAAGTTCAAATCTGAAGTTTTTGGTTTCCTATATTTTAGTATTTCAATTTGTTTATGATGCATTGTTTAAATCATTTCAGACCCCGAATGTTATTCTTCCACCGGCAGACATGCCAAGCCTCAAATGGATGGAGGTTCAGTAGTGTCTTGCGGCAGTGATGATGATTGTAGAAAACATTACGAATGCGTGGGTTGTGGATTTTGCTGTCCTGTGGCCAAAGGAAAGTTTGCTAAACTAGTATAAACCAACTACTCACGTAACCATTGCATGAACTGAACAACAAGACTTATAACAAATGAAATAAAGTGATAAAGAAGCATTAGTTCATATTTTGTTGTTAAACAAGCCTTTCTATTCTTATTTCTTTATGTTTGAAATCAAATTTAAATGGATGGGTGTATTTTGACTCTGTGGGTAAATCCTCTTTTTTAACTGAGTCAGTAAAAGATATTATTATGACCTAATTTGATACTAAAGAGACATTTGGGGTTAATTATAACCACACATAATCACAGACAACACGCTTTGAAAACTCTGTCAAACTCTTCTTGTTCTGGTATTAGTTCCGATATTAAATATTGGTTCTCGGCTACCATGCGTTAGAATAAAATTTTATTAAAGGGCCTAACATTCCATATGTCAGAAGGAAATAAATAGTCAAAATCATCCGATTTAACATTTGAAATTACGTCACATTGTCGAACCTGATCTCGTACATGCACCTCTTTGCAAATTGACGTGGAATACGTATGTATGTGTATGTAGTCTATGTTTAATGAGTGTCCATCCACCAAGGCACAAAAGCAGCTTTCGTTTTCGGGTACGAACCCCGGACATGTCAGTCAAGTCAGCCCTGAAAGAGTTAATTTTAAAGCACAAAATGGTGATAATTTACCTCCACGCAATTTCCACGGAGAGTTAGCCAAAGATATGAATTTTGAGCCATAAGTAGGTCATTTTGCGGCGGTCAATACGACCCTAAATGCTCAGTAACCTGAGACAATAATGAAAGGCGGTAGGCCTTAAAAGGGCTGTTGGTGCCAAGCAAAGGGCCTACCTTACATGCCGTCATTCGTACAAGGGGCTCACGCACCCTAGCTAGTACACCGACCTCGTCGACTTTGCTTACTTTGTAGGGCCATTCCCATCAGCTTTAGTCAGGACATCGGCAGCTTGTCCTCAGTTTATGTTGTTGACGAAGTAGCAGTCAGCCGCAATTTTGCCGATGCTCTGTGCCTTCTCAGCGACATGCACGCACTGAGGGCAAGTGAAAAGGTGCGTGGAATACCTACCACATGCAAGCACTTTTGTTTTGTACAAAATTTGAACCACTTTGGTACAACTCTCTTCATTTTTTTAATCAAACTTTACAAACAGCTATATTATTTTCTTGAAATTTGAGAATTACAAAATTGGGAAGTCAGTAAAAGTGTTAAACTTTTCAAGAGGTATTGTTTACACGTTTATACACAATGATAAGAGAAATAAGTGATTACCTGAACATAGACATTTTGACCCCAATCAAACAACAAACATCAAGCTCGTATTACTGTATTGTGACATGGCCTGCGATTGGCTTCAAAAAGTGCTAGGAAACCCGTAATATTCAATGGGACATCAGGTGATTGGATGATTTCTTATTTTTATTTTATTTTTTGCGAAAACTTTGGTAGGCCAGCCCTATATAACATGATCAATTTAATGTTTCAGGCAGGTCATTCTTCTAGAAAAATCACATCTTAAGCACGAGTATTCAATTTTACAGTTAGTGGTCATTTCTTATAATGTAATAATTATATGGGAAAAATTATACAGTAGTCTTGCATTAAGATATCGAAGAAAGAGCATAAGAAGCAATTAGCTCCCTGTAGGATATAACCAAAAGATTTTACACAAGACACCGCACCTTTGCAGAATTACTGTAATAAAACACAATAATAACAAGAAAAGCATTGATGCAAAGCATCAAAGGGTGTCCAAGCAAGAAATGCAGCAGGTGAAGATGAACTAGTAAATATATGATGACAAGATAATCTTATAAACGTTTCAATGGTTAATTGGTTTTTACCAGAATTGTAGATCACTTATGAATGAACGGACGAAAGACATTGTTCATTATTAACTTTGATTGGCATGCTAGAGATTAATATATTACTTGTTATTTATGATCGTGGTTATTAATAGCAACGGATATACATGTATACAATCATTTATAATCCATATGTGTAACGCATGATGAACACCACACTTAATTGTGTAATTGCCCCTTATTATGTTATCGCTATTAGCGAAGACCCCCTCTCACACTTACTAACAATATTACACTGGTTATATTACCATGTTAATCATGTTGAGCATAATTGTTTATTATACAATTATTGTAATATCTATTTTAATAAAACAAAATTACAGATTTGATGAATATTGTTTTCTTTTCTTTTTTTGTGCTGTATGTGCTATTTTAATACTGAGTTTTTACGTTTACTACTATTTTAAGATTTCAATTGTCAAATTGATTGACCGACGATTATAAGTCAAAACTTAACTGGAAAAAGTCAGTAAATTATGGTTAATCTTTCAATATATAATATTGTTTATTCTTAAACCATATCCATGTACATTTGTATTTTTCTTTATCATTTTTAAATTATAAATAAATTGAATAATTCATAAAGTCTAATTTGTAGCTTTGAATAATTCCTCGGCACCTTTACTAAACACGAATAACACATTAAATAAAATGTTTCAAAGTTGATAGTGTCATATTAATACCATAAAAATGTACCTTTTTTCTCAATTATTGTACATATTTATTGTTTTTATCTCATATAGATAAAATAAAACATGTTATTGTTGTTGTTGGGTTTTTTTTCGAATTGTATGTTTATGTATAATAATAATCAATAAATTTGAGAGTTGATCTGTGTTAATTAATTATTGTAACCAAACTAAGTGACAAACGTTCATTTTGAAAAAAGCTTATTTATCTGTAAAATATTTGTTCCGTTCTGTAACGATATCAAACATCTACTCCAAAACCGGGAGAGACCGGACAGTAAACGTGTGGTACTATTCGCCGGTCACTAGTAAATCCCGGGAAAGACCGGGAATTACCGATAGGAGTATATCCCTCTATAAATAGATTTTCGGAATATTTAGGTCATCAACTCATTCTATTCAGCTTTCATTCAGATACATGTAACATACCATAATAACCCACTGTGTACTACAAAATGATAAATAAAAGATACCCAGAAGAGCGCGATTTATTGACGGAAAATGTTATTTCATTTGAAAATGTTTGCAATGCGAAATTCTCAAGTTCGCTATTCATTGTATATATCGTAACATTTCATTTTTAATCCTCATACAGATCGGAATGATCGGCTTTTATTATGTCCGACTAAAAGGCTCGAGAAGTTGTTGTCGCCCTTTCACAAAATCTGATTTCATTCCATAAGAGGCGCCGCGCTTCGGCGCGGACGCCATTCAAATAAATATGAATCATGGCAAATATAAACAAACTAATTTCTTCCTTCTGTCAGTATATACCCTTATATCGGCATTATGTCACTTTAAAGGGAGACACAGGCAAAATTTTCATTTCTTCGTTTTGAATTTTTCATTCATTTATCTGTAAATGTTCTCAAAATGAATGCACTAGTAAGTCACAGGAACAAAACTTTTCTCCTTATAAAGAAAAAATGGCGGTTTCCTAACCTGACCCACGCGGGTCAGGTTAGAGCGTTAAGATTTCACATTACTAGTCACAGTGAACCCTGGAAACTATAAAGAACCTGCCAAATGAATGATTTATGTTTGTTTCAATCATACTAAATCCACTATATCTGTAATTGTAACTTCCAGGGTTTGTTCAAGTCGCATGACTTGTTTTAAAACTACTCAGTGTTTCTACGGGCGTCTAAATTTCGTTAAACGCGTCTAAATTTCATTAAACATATATAGGTATATTTGCACTTCAAACCCAAAATATATAGAATATTTACAGAAATTTATGCTGGGACTTTTACAAATGTCATATCAGCGTGTTTCGATTACAAAAGATAATTTTGATATTTTTGTCATTAATTTGCCTGAGTATCCCTTTATCGTTTGAATTTTTTATCAATGATCAAAACTAGCTCTTTAAAATCAATGTGATGCACCTTTGATTAACACATAATATCAATACCAGTCTTTGTAATCTGCTAGCGTTAGGGAAGTAGCTACTACGTTATCTTTTTGTATTTTGGCTAGAATTGCCCCTTCTTAAATATAAATAAATATTACAAACTTAGAAAATAAAAATCACGAACTATTTACAGTGATTTTATGAATCGCCCCAAGTGCATCAATGAATATGATGAAATATAATACATTCAATATGAAATTGAAGGAAATGAATATTAGCATTACTTACGGTATCTCAAAATATGAGTACATTTTAATAAATTGACAATTTGAAACAAATCTTTATGAGGACTTTTCTGAAACATGGAATGACATTTAAGTTTTTTTAAGACATGCATAAATTTCCCCCCCCCCCCCCCTCCCCACCTCAACACACAAGATGGACATTGGGTCTCCAAAAATCATACACATGGTAGATTAGGTAATCTCCATGTCTCACTCGAATAACCTATTTCAGATGTAACATTTGCTTCAAATAAATTGAGTTGAATTTTCACCGGTATTCCCACGTCTGAAAAAGCCTCAAGAAACCACAAATCATATGAAGCTAAAACTATCAGATCATAACAAGTTTCAACCTTATTATAGAGTGTAGTCAGGTGAAGTCCTATCAAGATTGAGCAGATTGTCATTAAAGTTTAAAGTCAGACTGTGATTGAAGTCATAAGCCAGCTCACAACAAATTCTTGAGTCTGGCTGCATTTCTATTGCAAGAATGCATTAATTTTTAAAGCATGATCTACCGCCAAAAACATATAGACCTATAAAAAATTTAGAGCAAAGAGTTATCGAGTTATTGGCGTCTGTGCCGAAGCGCGACACCCTTTATGGAATGAGAAAGGGCAATTGCAACTTCTCGGGCATTTTTGACGGTCATAATAGCCGATAATTCTGATTGGTATGAGGGTGTTTGATTATGCAAATTGAAATGTCACGATATCTACAATGAATATCGAACTGGAGAATTTCGCAATGCAAACATATTCAAATGAAATTGTCTTATCCGTCAATCAATCGCACCCTTCGGGGTTTTTATTAATCATTTTGTAGTACACAGTGGATTATCATGCAAGTTATTGCTGTACCTATTAATAAAATGATAACCTTAACATTG